GGATGTATTTGTTCTTAAACACACTGCTGTGTTTTCACGATGACAGGAAATAATGTATTACTTAATTTGCTGTTATTGTCTCTTCAGACTGAGTGACTGTAAGCTGTCAGAGAAAAGCTGTGAAGCTCTGTCCTCAGTCCTCAGCTCTCAGTCCTCCAGTTTGTCAGAGCTGGACCTGAGCAACAACAACTTGAAGGATTCAGGAGTGAAACTCCTTTCTGTCGGACTGGGACATTCACACTGTAAACTGGAAACTCTCAGGTAAGGACTGAAACATTAAAACTTATCAGACTTATAATAGGTTCACGGTTCAAGGAGTATTTATTATCCCCGTGGGGTAATTTACTACAGAAACAACAATAAATAGCAAAGAGACAATGATAGATAAATAAAACAAAGTAGATCTACTGGTTCAGCAGAGCAATGGCAGCAGGGACAAAAGAATACCAGTGGACAGACAGCTGGATGGTGTACCAGAGCTTCTGCTGATGTGATTCAACAAAATGACCTTTTACTGAACTTCATCAGTACTTTCTGGACTCACAGAATTCAAATCTGTAATGATTTTTAATTTTCTTCTATGTAGTTATTTTTTTAAGGGTTAAATACCAATATTTTGGTCTTTCCTAATCTGATTTCAAACATCAGGACTGGACTGATCACGGCATCTTAACCGATCAGTGTGGCGCAGACCTACACCCGGTCCTTTGTTCATGTTTGCCGTCACACAGGTGTCATACAGGGAGAGTACAAATTGTGGCAGGATAGTAGGGATGCACATGATGTCTAGTTTTCTCTGCTACATACGCCACTGGGTTGAAGAAACCCTCCCAGTTTGTCATATAACCATGAGCTCTGGCTGGAGGTCATCAGGCGTCACCCATGTCTTTGTCGTGGTGCCTGTTGTTAGCTAAACCCCCACAAATGCTCTCTGCTTCTACTTAATTTCCCCCAATCCAAGTGGCCTCTGGTCTCTGCAGCATTAAACAGCAACCAGGTACTACAGCATGTAGAGAATACAGGTTTTTTCCATCTTTTCAAGCTTGTGCGGCTACATTTCATCTACCAGAACTTTACAACAAGGTCTTGACCACCTCTGTAACATTACTTTTTTTTCTTCATGCATTGCAGAGCTTTTCAGGTGTCAAGCGTGTACGTCTGATTGATTTATTAACTTGAATATACTTGAAGTGTGAATTATCAAGGAAAATGGTATTGGATTTGGACTCGGTAGTAGCGGATACAAAATACTAAATGACTTTGATCTAACTGGGGTCGTAAAAACTTGATCAGGATGTCTATATAAGATTGATTCTTCATTTGCTCCAGAGGCGTTGTATCTACCCCAAAATGTAGATGAGAGACAAACAAGAAAACGAGGAATGAAAGACATCTTGGCAACAGTCGCCGGTTTGTGTGTTGTTTTGTGCGTGCAGGCTGTCGAACTGTCAGATCGCAGAGGACGGCTGTGCTGCTCTGGCCTCTGCTCTGAGCTCCAACCCCTCACATCTGAGAAAGCTGGACCTCCGCTACAACCATCCAGGAGAGTCAGGAGAGAAGCTGCTGTCGGCTGCACTGAAGGATCCAAACAACAGTCTGGAGACTCTCAGGTACAGACAGACAGACGCTCTCAGGTGTTGACAGGATGTCTGATGGAGGACGAACTGCAAACATGTCCTCTGACACTCAGCTCTGTCGTTGAGCTTAATGCTGGATACGAGTGTGACATGAACAATCACTCATGTAGGAGCCTTTTTTCCATTGCGCACAACATGAATGCTGAATGAACAGAAACAGCAGATATTTCTGTGAGAACATCAGCAGGAACATCTGTGGTTGCTGCCCTTTGGTCACCATCCATTCAGTTTGGACAGACCTCTGAGCCCGCATCAGATTACTTTAATCTCTGAACAGAAACAGATCCAGCACATGTATAGCTTAGCTCCCAGACTAAGCTAACAGCGGGCTAAAACTGTCAACCCAGCTCCACGAAAAGTTTAAAAAATGCTGAAACGATCATGTTGTTTGTCCATGTTGTGTAACTGAGCACTGGAGTCCGATGATTGACACCAGGTGTGAGTGAGTGTGGGTGTGTTTTAATGTGGTGTGTGGAAACAAGGCAGTACGTTCAACCATCTTCAAACTGTCACATCACTGATGATCAAAGTGTCGATGACGACCTGCTGTGTTGTGTTTGTTCCCCCCATCAGATTCCTGTGAGTCGACACAAACGCAGTGAACAGAAACCTCAAACTGTCTGACAGCAACAGGAAGGAGCCACGTGTGATGGACGATCAGTCGTATCCTGGTCATCCAGACGGGTTCGATCACTGGCCTCAGCTGCTGCGTAGAACTGGTCTGACTGGTCGCTACTACTGGGAGGTCGAGAGGAGAGGAGGGGTTGAGATGTTGGTTAGTTACAGAGGAATCGGAAGGAAAGAAGGCCTTGGTGACTGTTGGTTTGGATGTAACGATCAGCCCTGGACTCTGTCAGACACAATAAGAGAGAAACATCCATCAGGGTCCACCTTCATCTCTAACAGAGCATCAGGTTATGTCCTGATGGAACTCTGTCCTTCCACAGAGTCTCCTCTGACCCTCTGATCCATCTCCACACTTTCAACACCACATCCTCCGAACCTCTGTATCCTGGATTTGGCTTCTGGTCGTCTGGTTCCTGCGTTTGTGTGTTGAGTTCAGTGTATGTGGTCTCCTGTTAGAGAAACAGTCTTCCTGAACATATCTACGGATCTGTTTCTGTCACTCAGGAACTTGGATGCATTTAGTAAATCAGTTTCTTTCTGTTTGAACTTATTCCTTGTAAATGTCTTCACCTTCCAGTCCTTTAAAGATTGAAGCTGTGATTATTCCAGAATCAAAATGTTGTTTTTTCAGTCAAAGTTTCAGAATGAATATCAGGATGTTGTACGATGTTGCTGAATTGTCTGCTTGCTGCCATAAAAGCCTGTTTTGAACTTCCTGTCATCGCTAAGCCTGCTCGTTAGCTCCAGACTGTGGCCCTGTTTGTACACTGCTGATACTAGCTTGAGTTCTTTGATTCTGGCTTAGTATAGTTCTGCTGCTGCACTCTTGTAAAGTTGTGGTTTAGTTCTGATTCCTTTGTTGCTATGATGATATGATTTGTTGGCAGCTGCCTCAGGCTCAGTCAGCCCGAGCCTTGCTTTTCCTTGCCTCTGTTAGGTTGAGACTTCAGCTTCCCGACAACCCAAGCTTTCCTGACACTGTTCAGGGAGTTTATTTTATTTTTCCTAACATCTGGTTACTCCATTCTTGTAGGCAGTTTTAGGTGGTTCTTCATTCATGTTCTTTGTATATGCACTTTGTGTTGCCTGCCTTATTGTAGATAAACTGAATTCAAACCACCGCCTGTATCTCCTGTCAGCATCTTGGGGTCTCTGACTAGCCATGTCATGCTGAGTCTAACAATATCTATTTTTTAAACTAACAATATCTTTTTACGCTAATGTAGCTGCAACTTTATTTTGTTTAAGCTACATTATCTGTTGTTGTACCGTCATTTTCTACAAGTACAGTCATTTGATTTGTTTAATTTTTGCTGTGGCATTAAATCAGAGCACATCAGTGGTTTGGTACCAGCTACCAAGTTATCAGTATCTTTGCATCCTGAAACTTTATTAGTAATTGACTGAACAAAAATTTCCACTGCACTTTAAACTGTCATGTTTTCTTACTGCACTGCTGCGACCTCTGCATGAATCACTTGCCTCTTGTGACTTGTCGCTTATTTTTTCTGTAATAGACTATTTTCTGCATTGTACACTGTGTGAACGTGATACGTTTAATTTCTATGGCTTCTGTTTAAGCATCATGTTCACTGAGTGTCTGTACTTCTTACAGTCGTCAATGTAGTTTCTGTTGTCTTTTTTCTGAAGCTGCACTGCAGACCGGGTGGAGCAACATTTCATTTCTTACTGTACTACTGCCTGTGGCTGGAATGGCAAAAAAGTTCTCTTGTAGATCGGTTAAAGCAGCAGCTTTTCCAATGTCTGGGGAGCTTGTCAGGGCCACAAAACAAACGATAGTAATATGCTATTTGAATAACATTTTCAAAGGTGAAGCAACTGCTTTCTCTTTTTAAGAAACATACAGACTAACCAGGATACTACCCTGTAGTAATGCTCTTTTTTCTGATCCGCCAAATACTACAATGGCTTTCACACAATTGGATGTGATTTTCTTCATGTTTTTGTTTCACACTGCAAAATTCTGTCAAATTGTGGTCACATGAAGTAGAATATGAATAAAAAGACAAACGAGAACGAGTAATCGTCACTCACTTTTCTAATCGCACAATTTTTCACAAGTATATGACAACAGCTTTTTCTATTTCAAACATATTGTTCTTTCCCTGGTAGCAAAGAAAGATGAGACAGAGATGTTTCTGGGAGGTTAAAGGTGTGTTTTTAATGAGGTGACTGATGTTCTGTAGGAAAGAGAACCAGAAAGAGTTTGTTTCCTTTAGAGAGCAACAGAGAAGAAAAGCAGCAGATAATCCCCAGAACTCAACACGACCAGTTTAACTGCTGACAGTAAAAACGACACCAGAAAGACTCATAACATGTACATAATAATTACAAATAATACAATTTTAACAGCAGCAATATTACTCACTTGTGACAGAATTCTACTGTAGCAGAGGGTTTCAAGAAATACTGACAAAACTACAGAACAACATTCTCAAAACAAGGAAACGTTTGTGGAGCTTATTCAGAAGTTTTCAAGCTAAATCAAGGATTTGGTACCTCTAGGACATTATATACAGTTTACATCACATTCACAGGTACATATAAAAATCAGTCAATTTATATTTAAGTCAAGGATGAGACTTTAGACTTCAATTTGACGACTGAGAGTCTCAGTCGGCAGCAGAGGTTAAACATGAGGACGGGTCTGATGCTCTGATCTCTGAGGCCGTAGATGAGTGAACTCAGACATCTGGGCACAATGAAAATTAACATATAAAAAAAATTTTGGAGCCGCAAAAACAGAATCCTGGTCAGTATTGTTGACAGAGCGACGAGCAGTGGGTTGTAAATGGTGGAGGAGAGGCTGAGGCCCAGCTGCACCAGATGCAGCAGCAGCGTGTTTCGAGCCTTTTGGGCTGAAGCTTTGTCTGCAGAGGCCGACCTGGCTGCTGCTGCAACACCGATATAGGAGGAAATGATCACCACAGCAGCTGATATGAACAAAACACATGTAAAAGTTTTGCTGTAAGTATGAAATATTGGTCCAACAAACATTGCTATGACAGAACAGGCTTGCTTCATCTGCAGACTCTGCAGGTCTTCAGAAGGAAAGATTACCAGCAGAAGAATTCGAATGAAAACATTTAGAGATGAAAAGGTCCAAACCAATATGATCGCCACACTTGTGTTTCTGATAGTGATGATGTCAACATGTCTCAGTGGGTAACACACAGCTACATATCTCTCCACAGACATCACCACCAGAGTGAGAGGAGAGATAATGGTTGTGAGATTAGTGATCCCAGTCAGAAGTCCACAAACAGGATACGTCAGTTTTATTCTACAAGCAGCCAACAAGAACAGAATCTGACTCAGAACCAGCTGCACAGTTTCTGCAAACAGGAGGTTATACAGCAGAATGTAACGGGCAGTCTCACAAAACACAGCTTTACTCCTCAGAGTGAACAACATGGTCCCGTTAATGTAGAGAAACACACA